ATCAGTTTCTGCAGATTGATTCACTTAAATGGGATTATTCAATCAATCTGCAGAAACTGATGATCATCACATTAAACAGCAGAAACTCATTTAATTAGATTGCAGATTGATCATCAGTTTCTGATTTAATCAGTTTCTACAATCTGATCCCATTTAAACTGATTAAAGTGAACATTTGTAAACTGGTACAAAAAGGGAATTTTGAATCAGAAACGTTATGAAGAGGAGAAAACAGAATTCAAAACTCGAATTCCTCCGAATGTGAAATACAACAGAGAGGGACCAAAATTACCTTGCGAAGGGAACAACCAAGGGTGGGAGAGAGGGAACCTTGCGAGTGGTGATGATGAGCAGCGGCGCAATCTGATCGCAAGAACAAACTGATTAAAGTGAGAGAGGGAGGAGGACAGGAATACCTTGGCCAAATTGAAACGTAAAATAAAATTAAAAAAAAAAAGTGTAGATATAAGACAAAGTAAAAGAAGATGAAGATAAAGATAGATGGACCAATTCCAAAAATAGTGCTGAAAACTGATTTTAGATACAATCTGTTCTTAAATGGGATTAAAGTAAAATTGAATCAGTTTCTGCAGATTGAATTTTTATTTTTTTTACTTTTATAAAAATTATGCAATTAGCTAATATATTTTTTGAATGGATCTGTTAAATTTTTTAGCTAAATGGGTTAGTGATGTCAATCTGGAATGGGGATACTTCACTGCAATTACTCTAGTCCACCATGTGCATGTACATGTATTGACTGATTGTAATAGAAATCCAAACAGTAGAGTAAAACAAACCCATTTCCCTATCCCCATTCCCTGTCACAAAAATCTCTATAACCCTCTTTGTTTTGTGCTTCTTAATTCTTTCTTTTCTCCACTTTCTGATGAACACAACAGGCTAACAAAATCTATTCGGTCTCCTATTATTCATTTGCTTCCTTTATTCTTTCTGTTAATTTGTTGCACAGATCAAAACCATTCATAAACAAACAAAATAAACAGACAAATAATGATAGATTAATCTGGTGTTTGTGCTTTTGAGAAATTACAGCAATGGAACAGCAAGTGGAGTTTGCAGCAGGTAACGATGTTGTTGATCAATCAGAATTTTGGAGCAGATAAAATTAAGGGAACAAACTGATGAGAACAGAGAAGGGAGAGGGATAAAGATAGAAGGCATGAGAGACGTGTGAGAAGAGAGAGATAAAGATGGAATAGAGGGGAGACGTGGGGAAGGAGGAGGCTGAATCTTTGGGCGGGAAGATATATATTTAGGATTGATATAAAATTAAGGGGGTTATCTGAGCCATCCATGTGAATATACAAATGGATCATGGCCCTTGAAATGTCCTAGTAGGACAAATGTCTCTAGGATATTTTCAAAATCCGTTCTGCTTTATTATATAGATA